TTTTTTTGTAGTTTCGATTATTTATTTTTTTCGTTTTTCAATTTATACGCACAACGATACATGGTGACTATCTCATGTTTCAGTGATTAAAGTTAAAGAATATTGATTCTTAATAGTTGGGAACATAATTCTATTTCCAGGACCTAAAACTAAAAAGCAGCAAATCCAGAACTAAAACACGAAAACAAAAATTATTGACTTATCAAATTATTATCGATCGAGCTGTGAAAAGGTTCAATTAAAGAAAATACAAATTAAATATTCGTTTTACATCTAGCAATGCGTGACTAGCTCCTGATATAACATTAAAAGCAAGATTTATAGCTTTAGCTTATCAAGTTGCAATTAGCAGGCCGTCTTTTAATTTGCAAAAGAAAATATGAATATAAAATTATAAATAAATCACACTAACATAAACATACAAATTGCGACTATATGTTGTTTAGCAATCATAACACATATTGAGTTTTAACAGTTAGGAACATATATAATTCCAATTCCATGAACCTGAAAAGCAGCAAAACAATTAAAACTCGGAAAAACATAACTAACTCATCAAATTATCTATTGAATCGTGAAAAAGATCAACTAACACTATGTTTGGGACATTGTTTCACATCGTTTTATAGTGTATTGTATTGTATTGTATCGTATCGTTTTTATGAATACAATGTTTGGATAGATTGTATTGTTTGTTATTATTAAATAATATTTTGCTGTTTGGTTTGACTGTATCGTATTGTACTGTAACTGATAAGTTTACTAAAGTTCCCTCAATTTTTTAAATATTAAATTTATCAAAAATTATGCATAAAAATAATTTTAAAAAATAAAATAGAAGAAGGCAAAACACGTTAAGAAAGCATAACAAAGGAGCGGGACAGAAGAAGGCAAAACAAAGGAGCACAGCTAATTAGAATCGAGTTAAAAGCAAATTAGGAGAAAAAATAAAACAGAAGGCGGCAAAACACCTTTAACGTTGGCGGCAGAAGTTCTGAAAAAAACAAAGTAGGTTATAAGTTGGAGATTTGGAGTTAAAATAGAAAAAAGGATAAAGGGTAAAATAAAATTGTGGAGTAATAAGTTAGGGCATAATTGGAAAGAAAAATAGGAAACAATCCCACCATACCAAATCGGTTGTTTAAAAAAAGGGGACTTTTCATTGTTCCGGAACAATGGATTTAACAATACGATACAATCAATTTTAATGAAACAATCAAAACAAACATTATTTTGGATACCAATACAGTACGATACAATGTGGAATAACCATCCAAACAAGTTGTAAAGATCGGAAACAAATCCATTATATATTTTACGTCAAACGATACGCGACTAACTCCTGATACAACAGTAAAACAAGACATATAGGTGGATCGATTCATCAAGTTCACGTGTAAAATTAATGCACCCCGGCATACCGCCACTTGGCATCATCCTAACTTAACATTGGGCGTTCCTCCTTTACCATTTGCATTAGCTGGTGAATTAGCAAAATACTTAGTATAAATTTATACCATTAACCAAATATGTTATAAATTTAATTCGTTACCTTATTCCACCTTATCCAATGTACTAAATGGCCCCTAAACTACAACACAGGTGTGAGTCTTATCTCTTTCTTTGATTATTTCTGTAAGTAACATATACTATAAAATTATGCAAAAGTAACCATCTATTGTCACAATTTGACTTAGTAATTGAGTTTGGGGGTGAGATTGTGGCTGTTTTAAGTTTTACGTCCCAAATATTATATTTACCTTATATATTTTAATTGCATTGTTAGCCTATTATATATGTAATAAGTATATGTTGCTTTTTAGAAAATTATTATTTGCACATCTATAAGAAAAATCAGCTAGAGCGATAGCAATAGTCATTAAGAAGAAGAGTCAGGGTTCATCATAGATAAAAGTTCTACAAATTTGAGACTTATATTTTATTCACGAGAATTTCTACGCACAACCATAAATTGTGAATTGTAATTATGTCTTGGATTATACAAGTTTGAAACTTATATTTTATTCGCGAAAATTTCTACGCACAACCATAAATTGTGAATTTTGATTATATATCTTGTTTCAACGGCTACAATTAAAGAAGATTGATTCCTTACAGTTGGAAACATAATTCCATTTCCAAGACAAGAACTAAAACACAAAAATAAAAATTATTGACTTATCAAATTATTATCTATTGAGTTGTGAAAACGATTCAACTAAAGAAAGAAACAAATTTAATATCCGATTTATATCAAGCAATGCATGACCTAGTCTTACTATAACATTCAATGCATAATCTATAGGTTCGACTCATCAAGTTCAATTACCAGGACATCTTTTAATTTGCAAATAAATAGACATAAAGATATAAATAAATCACAGAAACACACATATTGCGACTATATCTTGTTTAGCAATCAAAACAAATATTGAGTTTAAACAGTTGAGAACATATATTTCAAATTCCATGAGCCTGAAAAGAAGCAAATCGACTAAAACTCGGAAAAACATAACTCACTCATCAAATTATCTATTTTGAATCGTGAAAAAGATTAACTAAAGATCGGAAACAAATCGATTACGTCACACAATACGTGACTAACTCCCGATACAACAGTAAAGCAAGACGTATAAGTGGATCGACTCATCAAGTTCACGTGCAAAATTAACACATCCCGAGCATGCCGCCACTTGGCATCATCCTAACATTAGGCATCCCTCCTTTACCATTGGCATTAGCAGGTGAATTAGCAAAATGCTTAGCAATCTCAGGATTTTCTTCCATAATTTTCTTAACCATATCTTGATTTTGAATCTCATCACTAGTTGGTTTACCCAATGTCTTTTGTTTTTGATCAAACATCATTTTTTCCACTGCTGATCTTGTCTCCAAATCTAATTCTGATAGCCTACTTGGCTCAGGCTCAGCTTTTTGTGTGTCAATTTCAGGTCCACCTTTGAATAAACTCTTCCACCAATCAGATTGATTTCTTTTTGTCATAAGAATTGTCACTTGTTTTTGATCTTCTAAACTCCAAAAACATTCATCAGCTTTCACAGGCTCCAGAAGTTCACCTTAGTTAGGAAAATAGAATTACAAAAAGTAAGAGGAAAGGAAATACGGTCAGAACTCTTTATAACATCGCAATACAACAACCAAGTTTCTTTGGAACCAATTTTCAAGTTATGTTATAATATATGTCCTTTATAGCAGTACTTCACTATAACAACCAAAAAATCTGGAACAAAAAAAAGTTGTTGTATAGATGTTTGACTGTATCTATATATTGAAAAATCACTAAAATATAGAAAAAAGAATTTTAACTCAAAATTTCAAAAGTATAATAATTTTAGTGGCAAAAAGTTAAATGTCGAACTAATCATATTTAAATACTCGATCGGTATTTTACTGATCCATTTTTCAAATAGATATATTCATTTAAATTTAAAACCAATAGTTATATTTATAATTAAATTCATTGTATTTGAATGTAGAGAGCCTTCAAGCTCATGGGATAATCACACTTCATGTGTGGCAGATCTAGTTAAAAAGTTACGATTTCAGTTGAATCCGTCATTTTTGACACGTAACTTAGATATATATAAAGAAATTACTAAAATTTTAATAAATATTAAATCTTGTATCCGCTTCCGTAATATATTACAAACTACTATTTTACATACCTTCAACGATTGGTGGTTGATTCTTGAGACCAACTTTGATGAAATTGTTCTTGATATCCACAGCTAAGAATCTTGATTTTGTACCAGGTGGTACAAAAACATTAATAGTAACATCTTGAAGAGTTTGTCCCCATGTATAATTCTCCACATCAAGCCCATTAAATTTATTTGGCTTTAATTTCTTGTTTTCGTCTTCTTCTTCTTTTGGAGCTAAAGAACAAGAAGAAGTGTCTAATTCTTTCTGAGTTTTTTCTTGATTTTCATCTTCTTTTTCCTGTGTATTTTCTACAGGCTTTAACTGTTGTGCTTGATTATCTCCTTCTGTGTAGTCTGAAAGAATTGCCATTATTTTTGGTGTTGAAATGAATGAGTAAGTTGGTGTGAGAATTTGGTAATTAAGAGTGAATTATATAGCAAATTATCAGAGAAAGAAAAGGAAAACTCAGTCTTAATAACAGCATGCCGTGAGATTCGTATTGAATTAGCCTCAAAACAACAAATTATTGAAATATCTAGTAAAATAAATAGTTCTATATTAATTTTATATATTAGAGTTATATATATTGACAATGTAAAACGTTTTTACACTGTTAGTATAGTAAGGTGTATATCATTTTCACTACTATGTAGCATCGAGATTTATTTGTAATTTGTAAGTGATCTGGTTGTGTTTATATTTTTTGCGCCGTTAATGTATAGAACTTAAACTCTAATATTATTTTTAAGAAGAAAAGGAGAAAATTAATTCAAACGAAAAAAACCACAAGATTTGAGTTAGTTAGAACATTTAACCGATTGCTTAAAATACGCTTAGATCAGTACTTGAAGAATTTGACCAAAGCATAAACATTAGGACAATCACTCTGAAAATTTCATATGATTTTCTTCTGAAATTATTTAGTACTTATTCGTGTATTAGAAGTAGTAATATTTACAGTTGGAAATGAAATTGGTTCTGCCAAATTTTATCAACTATTTTCAGTATTTAATATTGAAAAGTCAATTGTGTTAAGAAGGTAAGAAATTTACCCGCACCAAAATATATATGACTCATATCATGTGTTTGCGCGTTTTCTAACTTAATCAGTGTTAATTAATATATATTTTTACCTGATTAATCATGACTTAACAGTAGTAATTTATATGATTTGATGTAAATACTAAGTGTCGGTAAGTATTAAGCATGGATCATGTTACAGGAAGATAAGCTTTATCCAAATTAAGTGTTCTACCTACTAGGGGCGTATGCAGGAATTTTTGTAAGCGGTGTCGAAATTTATAAAAGAATTGGAATGTTACTTTGATTATCATACTTTTAGACAAGAAATAACCTTAGTTTATTGGTTTTGTTGAGTCTTAAAGTTAAAAAAGATTTTGAATTCAATTCTATTTCATCACAATTTTTAACTACAAAGGCTCTCTCAAATATTTACAAAAGAAAAATGTACTAGTTGAGGTTTGAACCTTTGACCTCTTAGAGCAAAATCAAGCACAAAACCAACACACTAAGGCACAATTTATGTCAAGTGGTGTCATTTTATCTTACTTATCCGTTTCTGTACAATATTAATATATATATTTAGTAAAAAATTTCGACGAAGCGGTGTCGCATGACACCGCTTGAGGAAGCGTGCATGCGCCCATGCTACCTACCCGTTTGACTTGCATAATTATGATGATATTTAATCTTAATTTAACAAATGTTAATTAATATATTTAAAATCGAACCACGTAAAAAGGAATAATAAATTACACTAATATTTAATTGTTTATTTACAATTATCAAAAGTTCTAAGCATAAGGATACCCACATCCATGCACGTGCATATATCTTATTATTATTATTATTATTATTTTATATCTTATTTATCAGTATAATAAATAATTTCCTTATATTTATTGCTAAAGATTAGTCATTATTTGATGTTAAGTTATTATTATTAAGTTGTAAAAGTTTACTACTCCTATGTGTTATAGACCACTCGCTTTTCAAGTGTGATTGAGAGAGCAAAACTCGGCGATCAAGTATGACTTAACGTAGGGATCATGAACTAAAATTACCTCAGTTTTTGTTTTAAATTCTTAATATCTTTGGAATATCAGTTAATATCCCAATAATTCAGGCACACAATTAACATTTTATCCCTGTGTTACCTCTTGTTTGATTACAACTCTTTGTTGTGCTGTTTTCGGTTTCAGGGACGTCAACGGGCACAAGATGGGGTTGGTTGACTCTTAACCCGCAAAACTTTCAACCCGTCCCGCCCGCTCCGCATGAATCCAAACTAAACGTGGTCCGCACCCGCTCTGCCCTATTTGTGGTAATTTTAGGGTTTTTTCCAACTCCACTACGGTTTCTAATTCCTAACTAAAAAGGCTTTTTATATCTTTCTCTCTCTATATATAGACACTCATTCTTCTTCCTAATTCTCATATCTATTCACAAAATCTCTTTTTCTACTTCTAAAACAATTTTTTTGTTTTTTTTTACAACGATGGGAATTTTCTCATACTACAAAGAAGAAGCACAAGAACCACTCATAAAATCTATAGAGAAAGCCCAAGATAATTCATCTTCTTCTTCTCCAAAAGAAGAAGAAGAAAAGAATAAGTTGATAATACCAAACAAAGCCAATGGACTTGACATGGAAAATTATACATGGGGTCAATCACTTGAAGAAGTTACCATAAATATCAAATTACCACGTGGTGAAAGTGAAAATTATTTTACTGTAGCAATTGAGAATAGTAATTCTCTCAAAGTTGGACGACATCTTCAACCATTTATAATAGATGGTCAACTTTTCAAGGAAATTAAAGCTGATAAATGGAGTTGGTATTTTTCTAGTAAAGAAGAAATTTGTATTATTCTTCCTAAGAAAAATAAGAATTGGTGGAAAAGTTTGTTGAAAGGTGGTCCAGAAATTGACACACAAAATTTTGAGGATAAATGGAGGATTTTGACAGGAAAACTATGGCAGCCGTGGAAAAGATGTATTTTTGGCTAGTTATGTCATTCACTTATTTTAGGTAGTAGTAATTAATTTCAATTTATTTTTGGTGGAATGTAATGGTTTTTTATTTGAGTTGAAGGAAATTGGATTTGAGTCAAGACTATTCTTTAATTTGATTGGGGTTCTAAATTATTTTTTTATTCTTACCATGTTGTTTCTCTTAATTCGGTTATCATATTATCTTGTTGTTGTTCACTGCCGGTTCTTCATGATTTTTTCACTATTTAAACACAACTGTTATTGTGCTTTGCGTGAGTCGAGGGTCTATCGAAAACAAACTTTTATATCTCTCTGTATATATAGACACCCATTCTTCTCCCAAATTCTCACATCTATTCACATAAAAATCTCCCCATTCTTCTCCTTTTCTACTTCTAAAACAATCTTTTTGGTTTTTCAACAATGAGAATTCTCACATACTACAAAGAAGAAGAACAAGATAACCACTCATAAAGCCTATAGAAAAAGAAAAAGAATTTCTAAAGGCTATAGAGAAATATAAAAGAAGAAGAAAAAGAAGCTGCTAAAACCAAACAAAGCTGCTAAATTTTTGTCGTCGTTGATATTCTTACCCCTCTTTCAACTCACTTCTCTCTTTACGTAAAGTGGGATTGCTCCTACCAACACCTACTAGTCTACTGCTAAAAAAATAGCAAATTTGCGACTGAAAAAATTAGTCGAAAATTTCCGACTAATTCGATCGGAAATTTCAGAAATAATATTTGTTATATTTTTTTAAGTTCTTTCAACTATGATCGCAACGTTTGGCGTAAAAATTCGGGATAAAAATTTCCGGCAAATTCGATCGGAAACTAAAATTAGTCAAACCATTTTGTTTGACCATTTGCGACCGAAACATGACACAACTTTATTTAAAATTTGGTCAACTTATTTTTTTTAAAATTTGCAACTGAAATAGTCGCTAAATTTTCGACAGGATTAGTCGCAAATCTATATCTATATATTATTAAAAGGAAGGAAGTTTGGCATAGAATTGTGATAAGTGGCGGAATAAGAAGATGACACGTGTTAATTTTTAGGACAAAAAGTAGTTGTTATGAGTAATAATTAGTTATTAGCGAAAGCTAAATTTTTAATTAAAATTAAAATTTAAAATATTCTATTCTATATTTATTATTAAAAGAAAGAAAGTTTGGCATAGAATTGTGACAAGTGGCGGAATAAGAAGATGACACGTGTTAATTTTTGGGACAAAAAGTAGTTGTTATAGAATCTATGGGAACATGAACTCAATATAGAATTTCAAAGTATAACGAAATTTGCTATTTGTGGAGCACTTCATTTCCTATCTAAATTCTCAAAGTAGTCTGCTTTACTTGCCAAATTTGAACTTCTTCGGTTGGTAATTTCTAAATTCAATTGAAGTGGACTATACACCTAAGATGTTTGATGATACGCAAAACCTGAACTTCTTCTGTTGCTATTTTTTTTTTATTTACATCGGGTGTCCGAGTCTCTTCGAGCCCCGACTATTCCCGGAGGTACACAGGCCCTCGGCAAGGAGTTTCCCAAGTGCACCACGGTTAATTCAGGTTTTACCCAGTCCGATGGTCCTCAGAAATTATTTGCACCCAGTGGATTTCGAACTTAAGACCTTAAAAGAGAGCAAACCCCAGTGGGTTTCATGTATTTATTGAGTAGTTTTAATGATAATCATTGAAGTAGACTATGCACCCAAGTTGTTTGATAATATACTCGACTCATTCATCAAATAATATTTGAAGTACATAACGTAAAACATATTTTAAATAGAGTTTTTCTCGCGAATGCATATCTTAAAACTGACTTTAAGAACAATCATAGCTTTAAAATTGTATTTCGACTCACAGTGTAGTTCACTATGATCATTGCAAGTAATAATTCATTTCTTTTACACGTCTAGCTTTTCTCTTCTTTTTTGTAATATGACAAAATCTAATCAGCAATTAGGCCAAGCTAATCTATAATATTTCAAATTTGATTCTTCTAATTTAATACTTAGGACATGGCCCTAAACAGGGAATTGTGGAGATCGAACATTAAGGTTGTAGGTTAGGGAAATTGTGATGTCTTTTTTACAGCGCACTAGAGTGAGACTAGCCAGTTAGGAATTAGTCTTAGGATGCTATTGATCAACTACTGATGATGGGCTTTATCTTCTGTGTATTAATACCTTACATATTCTCGTATTTCCTATATCTCTTATATTGTTGTTACTTTGTTTTTATGGTATTTATGTTATGGTATGGATTTTATGGTATTTTATGTTGTTTTATTATGAGTCTATTTGATAGTACTAATATATTGTCTCTTGTCGCCTCTTTGAGCCGAGGGTCTCCTGGAAACAACCTCTCTGCCCCTCGGGGTAGAGGTAAGGTCTGCGTACATATTACCCTCCCCAGACCCCACTTGTGGGATTTACACTGGGTTGTTGTTGTTGTTGTTGTTGTTGTTGTTGTTGTTGTTGTTGTAATTTAATATAGAGTAAAAATTAAAAAAAATAGAAAAATGGACTTCGACGCTGCCACAACATATGCTTCTCTATGAAGAAGTAAACTAAAGGTACCTTTTTTGTTAGTAATATTTTGGTAGATTACTAGCACTTTTTAATTGAAGACCTTTGTAGGTTTAATTTTAGTATCTTAGAGCTCAAAATTCCGGAACTACATTTAGTAAAGTGGATTTATACAAACGTTCTTTTTACTATTAGTTTTATACTAAATTGCAGCTAAGGTAAGGAACTTCGTGTCGCTGCTGCTCCATTCCGCTGCGCTGCGGTCTCATGAACTGAACTTCGTTGCCACTAAATTGCTTACAAAAACTTATTCTTAAAATCTCTGTTTCTTTTTCAAGGAGCACAAAGTTATTTGACCCTGCTAATATAGCATTCTGTTGGAGCTGCATGTGAACTTTTATGGTATTCTGATCATATTATAGTTCAGCTTTGGGGAGCTATATATATATATATTTTTGCTTTCTGAATGTTCACTTGATTTATAAGTATCATCTTTTGAGCTATTTGTGGGAATTACTGAGGCTAATGATTGTAGCGAATATAAAATATCGATGCTACGAGTTTTGAATATGTTGGTCACCAAACTCAAAGGTTATCAACAAGAAATCGAGAGAATGAGGAACAATGCGTTTCACTTTGGGCTTCATGGTGTTAAAAGCAATAATGTTGGATCTCATCCTCTTGAAGGTAAGGCGAGAGGGATGAAGCCAAACCATAGGTGTTTGCAACTATTTTCCTCTTCGTTACCAAAAAACAATATCTTTCTCTTCATCTCTTCTTATCTCTTGATATTGATTATACAGTACTTTATTCAAGGTTTGTTCCTGCGACCTAGAATACATCACTCTTTGTTGCAGTGTTGTGGCTAATTTTTGAAATTTTATATGCTTAATACAGGACTATTGCTTACAAAGATCAATTGAAGTATAATCAATTGAAAGAATATCACTATGCCCTGGTAAATATTTTATCCATTTTCTTTTAATTTGTAAATTGAGTCCATACTTCAACAACGAACGACATTTGATTAGCCAGCAACTGAAGAGATGTAAGGTTGATTATATATTAAAGATCAATCGGTAAAAAGTAAAGATCAACCATTGCGTATTTTAAGATATAAATTTAAAAATAATTTTGTAATCCAGTCTCGTTCATGAATTATTCAGTCTTAGGTGTTTGTTTCACTTCATTGAATCATTAAATTGTCAGATACTTCATTCTATAGAATACTTCAAATTACAAAGGTCTAGGAGACTAGGACCACTGCTGTTTGTTTGCATAAGTTTTAGTAGATTTTATACTTGATTATGGAAGCAAAATTTGATTGTTTTGCAATCTGCTAACTAGCCCGTGCTAATCTACTTTATATCTCAATAATATGCAGAAAGTTGCGATTAGCAAGATGGATATGCAATCAACAAAATATTTGTTGCTGAATAGGTTTACATACATGTTCATCTTAAACTAAATTCATGACTCATAGTGATATACTATCTGTTCTTCCTTCATTATAACCTCTTTTGGCATCTGCTCTAAGCATATGTTAATAAATATCATCATGTATGGTTAAACTTACAGACGTCGGCAATCTTTTAATTTATTTGTAATGCAACTTTAAAAAATTGCTAAAATTTCCTTTTTTTAATTAATTGATTAACTTCCTTTCAAGATTTTGCATTTCTCAATATGCCAATCCATTCACTGGTCTGATCCATTTACCTAGCTAATGTGATGCTTTCCTTCTGAAAGTCAGGAATGGTGATTTAGTTGTTCCATACTTGAGATTTAGCAGAAGATGAGTTATTTTTCCTCTTATATAATAATACATAATATGAGATAATATTTCACATGTTGAAGCCATTTCAGGTACGTTTGATAAGATATTTTATTTGTATTATTATTATTATTATTATTATTCCTTTTATGTTTTGCTTTACGACTCCTTTTAATTATACTTACGGAAAATTTGGAAGGCTTCGACGCTATAATTTTTTGTTGTGGCGCAGAAAGAGTTCAAAAATATATGTAAGCACGTAATTTTTGACCCATGCAACTTTTAAAAGTAGTATTTTAAAAAAAAATATTTACTTATTTTTATTTTAATAGAATTTAGCCTATTTTTCACTTTTAGTCTAATAGTAGAACATGAAAGTCAAAAATACAAAAATATTTTCAATTTTATCTTTTATCTTTCTATTTAAGTTAAGGCCATTAGTCTTTTATAGTAATATTAATTTAAGTTTGCTAGCATTCTAATTAACTTTTTTCTGCTTCCATTTTAATATATAATCTTTGAAAAATGGTGGTTTCATATCAATATAAATTTTATGTTAGTTAAAATCAATTACTAGTATTTTAGTAATATTTTGCTATTTATTTTTATCTTTGAAAATGTGATTGAATTTTGATTTTACCTTGTCTTATTTTAATTAGAGGAATCCATTTTCAGCTATTTTAGGTTGTCCAGCTTTGAGCCTAA